GGAAATACGGGATTGCGGCACAAATTTCAACGGCTCGACCTATGCTCGTAATTTTCGATGTATAGTGTGATGGGGAGGAAACCCATCACCAGTGCAAAATTAGAGGTTAAATGGCAGTGGGGGAAATTTTCTGAGGACGTGGTCTAACGGACCGAGTGCAAAACTTTTTTGTTTCAGCGCTGACCTACCATTTTTATCACTTTATTGAAAGGACCATGAAATGTACTTTCCGCTGACGTGCGAAGAGTAAGTGTCTGATAACCTTTTGACCCTCAAGAGGAGGGTTAAACATGGATTTGTTTAAGAGGTCTGCCTTACCTCTGCCCGCCATCTTCGTCGAAAGTTTGGACGCCGCGCGGCGAAATCGGAATGTACATTTCAATCGATGACGTAACTGATACAGTAGCGCGCCGCGTGGGTGTTATTTGTTTATAAACAATTTAGTCTGACTGACTCTCTCCCTCTCTCTCGCTCTCTCTCTCTGCAATAAAATTTTTTTTGCTGAAATGATGTATACGCAACTGCGTATCTGCATATCTGCGCCTAACTAAGGTGTCACTACGCACGACTGAAATGTTACGTTTATAACCGTAGCAACAGACCTCAGATGAGCCCAGTCGCTCTGCGGCACTTGTGTAGATTGTACATGTGTGAGTGTGTGTACCACTGAAACAGGGTAATTACAATTTGTTGAGATTTTCAAATACATTATTACATAGCAACTTGTTGTAAGCTGTCTAGTCAAATTTCAAGCTACATCTTGGGATTTTAATGGTGTCCAAATTCAGAAAATAGACAAACACAGAAGATACATTCAGAATTATGTACTGTACACTGATAATCAAAATTTGAGATGTGCTGATGGTTTGTTGAAGTTTGCTTGCTCAAGAATGAAATGGGACCTGTTGCGTGAAGATATGGGTTATGAAAAACCACCACACGCACACATAAACTTTAACACACTGGACTACATGTCCAGCCTCTATTTGCTTCTTGTACCTCATATAGCAATGATATATTATGGGGTAAAATGATTAATTTGGAGTGTATAAAACAATGACTGTGTCATGTTTATCTTTTTTCCTTTAGGCGTCAGCCCTATGTGGTAAGACCACATTTGCTAGGCTCTAATTAAAATGAACCCCCATTCTTATAACATGTAACACAAACGGACTTCTTACTTGACCATTTAATGCCCTTACATGCCCTTTTACATAATTTTTATAATAGATTGTTAGCAGCCACTGCAAATCCCTTGATATATATTGTTTTGCCAAGTTTTACAGTTACAATGTTGGGACTTCTCATAATTAAAACCGCAATGTTACAGACAAATTCACCTGCCACAATTCAAACTAAAGACTCTTTACCATCGAGTGAAAGTAGTTTCTCATTAATAATTACGTTATTGTGAAAATCCCGGCCTTCTACAAGCACCGGTTGTGCTCAACAGTAATTTGTACCATAACAGGCTAACGCTCCATTAGGAGTGTTCCCAACTTTGATATCATTAATAATTAATGATTAATGATTAATGATTGATAATCCTAACCCTAACCCTAACCCTAACCTATAACATAACCCTAACCATTAATGACATTAAAGTTGGGAACACTCCTAATGGAGTATCAACCCTATAACACATGAAATACTTCCCACTAGGAATATGAGCTTTAAGTACGATGGCCCAGCTGTATAAGGACAGCTTTTGATACACTAGGGATTAAATTTTAATGCGAAGCCAGGCTAGTGATATTCAAAATATGGATTCTGTGCGTAAGGTAAGAGGAAATAGAGGGGGAAGTATAACATCAGGCTCGTAGCACAAGGGGAGACGTATAAGCCATATGTACAACAGCTATAGCATGTAAAGTGTTCCCAAGTCCCCACGTAGAAGTCTTCCGTCTGATATCAGAAACTCAGAGCTTGGACTTTCCAGAGCCGATGCAGATGTAGGGCTTGACGAGTGGGAAAAGTCCAAGCCCACTCTTGAATGACGTGACATTGTGAATAGTGGTGGGTTGCTATAGAAAACAAGGAAGTATCGGAACTTACATCAGTCAAATATGAAAGTAACATGAAGTAAACGCTGGTAGAATGGTAAAAGTATCATTTAAATTTGGTAATAATAATCACACATTGTTTACCTTAACTCTGTCATCTGCAATTTCCAGACCATCCAGTGTACTCTGGACAGATGCCTGCTCTCCCTTGGCAGATGACACAATGTGAACAGCCATCTTGGATCTGTGTGGACCACCTTCTGCTATCATGTCCTGCAAACAAATGATGTTGTTAATTGCTTGTGTTAACCAAATTAACAGGCATGCTTTGATGATAGTAAAAGCTACGAAATTCACACTGTACCCTTGTAGGATACTCCCTGTAGTACAGAATTAAAGATGATAATGTAGTTGCTATTTTGCTTGACTCTGCTGCTATTTGCCGTATCGATCTACCCATATGATCGATGTTGAACTGGGTATTCAGTATAATGCAGTGGACTGCGTAGTTATCATTACGAGATTACGAGTCCAATTTGTAATTGCTAATGCAACTATCAATTAAAAACCCAAATTCACATTTTTTTTAACATCGCACTTACCCTGTAAAATGTCACCACATCTTCCTTGGTAAGAGTTTTCAGATGGGCCACTTCTATACTATCTGTATAACAAAATGGATTAATATATTCATTCATGGATGTAAATTTGATTAGTGGAAATGCCATCCCCTATGTATTAGATACTTCATCTTTAATGTAAACGTTAATGCATTTGCATAATAAAATGTCTTCTACCTAATTGTATTAAATGTGTTAAACACGTTAAACTCATACATGTTCTATAGTTCAACAAATTAAAATGTTTTGTAATATAAAGAGCAGAATGTGAAGGAGGGTAATACTGTTCTAATGTGTGTGGGTTACTACTACTCACCCCTGTCAAAGTTGTACTGCCTGGAGACGATCTCTCCCCAATATTTCGCCGATTGGTGCGATAACTTCTTCGGTTTTTCCAGTCGCCTCGCTACCAAGGCTGACAGATGTCTCTGGAATTCCTCATCTGACATGTTGTCTAGATAGGTCTGCAGATAAAGAGATTTCCCATGCATTGGCAAAATCATTTCATGCTACCATACTACAGGAAAACGTATGATGTAGTCATAATAGTATCCCCAAGCTGCATTGAAAATATATCAGTGCAGTTGAAGCACTAGATCCTATGTCTGGGCATGAATATATCTATACAATTACTAATTATAAATGACTAATGATATTCACGATGCTGGCTATAGTGCTGTTTCTTGACTACAGATTCAAATATCTATTTGTTCACATGTTGCAAAATTATGCAGATTGCCAGTGACATATATAAATCATATGTATTTTCAAATCAACTAGAAAAATGTGTGAGCGCATGTATTTTCGAACTAAAAAAAGAATTTTTCAATGATTTTGTCACCATGGTATGGAGGACTAGGAGGACAAGAAGGTACAGAAGAAGAGAACGCAAAGGAAGTGCTCTTTGCATTATATCATGAAAATATTTACACTAATTTGTACACATCTATGTAATATTATTTGAATATGCTGTTGATTATATTAATAGGCATCTCTGCGATACACACATCTAAACTCTGTAGGAAGGCTTCGGCTCTCTGGTCAACGAAATCACAGGATTTGTCTGACTGTACTATGATCCTCAGTCCCTGTGTACCGTGCGCCCGTCGCACTCCGCTGAACACAATGTAACCTGCAACAGAAAAATAACAGTTACCCATGAATAGAGACATTGGCAGCTGCAGCGGTGGCGGCGGCAGCGGTAGTGATGGTGGTGGTGGTGATGTTACCGTCAACATCATCGTCACCATCATCATTGTACAATACTTATATGACCATGAGAATTCACCGCACTCTCACTGAAAATAACGGGTATACACATACGAATTTAGCGACAGAGTCGGAAGGCAGCATCCGAATAAATATAACAATGCTTAACTATATTAGATACTTGGGGAAAGAATTCGTGTGTCTACTTAAGTGCATAAATGTGTGTCAATGCTCGTTGTTAGTAAACAATGGCAAGATATGTTATGTCATAAGAGCAATGACATCTGACACTCGCGCAAAATCTCTCTCGTTCGAGCAAAATAATTTGACTTCAGAATAAACCAGTGGTAGAGCTTCATACTCTGTGGTACTCCTGTAAATACCGTATCCCTGTGAACCTCAGCGTTACCCTACCTGGTTTAAGCCCATTGCCTTTTCATAAATTCCAGGTTGTGCGTGTATTCCTCTGTGTCCCACATAAAATATTTCGTTATAATGCAAGTTGCATTAATATCTCTTCTTGGACGGAAACGTGTCTTGGTGTACCTCCAACTTACTGTGGTGCCTTAATATTTGTGATTAAACCAAATAAAATTTTGATGACCTAAAAAAATTGTATTCCTACTGTTGCTACTCACCGAGCTGTTCCTGTGTGCGTAATACATTGAAGCACGGTTCGGATATGATCTGGCAGAAGAGTTCCAACACAACATTCATCGGTATTGACTGCAGGCTGCACTGGTAGTAGAGCTCTAGTGCTGAACCACTGTGCACCTCGTTGTATTCTCTGAACAAGTAACTACTATCTGCAACGAGACGTTTAATAATACTATAATGAGAATAAGTTTCTCAGAAATGAGAGAGAATGAGTTCTGCCTCAGCAATTCCACCACAAACCCTCTATATACCCATAAATTCAACCTAAACCAGAGATGCCAACACATATTTGAAGCAATCTGTAGTTTCTGGCCATCAAATTAGTAGTTCGAGGGTCACGTAGTGACCCGAGTTTGCTAGGGGGGTCCGGCATGCCCCCCGGAAAAATTTTTGATTCTGAGATGCAATTTCCTGTATTCTGACGGTCAAAAATGACAATAAATTGCCAATAATTGACAAAAAAAATATTTTTTTCGATCACAGTGAAATTCGTAGTTTGATACAAACTGGTCGTAGTGGTGCAAAAGGAATAGAAATTCGTATAAAATATGGATAAATCGTAGTGGTTGGCATCTCTGCTAAACGCTTGAACATGTTGAATGCATAAAGCCAGGTTATAATCATTAGAGATATAAACAGTAATGGCAAGAATACATTACAAATTAACAATAGATTTATTAGCTACAGTATACCTAATTGATTTACCTTCTGATTGTGTTAAGAAGATACATTTGATGAAATTTAGTTAATGCCATGTGTACTCAGAATAATAATAACAATGATAAAATACATGCTCAGAAGACACTTCCCACTACATTATACAACGCAAAGGTTTCAAGCTCTTCATTATTCACGTTTCACTAATCTTCATAGCAGAAATAAATACAGAGTAACTGGCTCCACAACTCACTATCTGGAATCTGGTACTCTCTATCTTTCACAAGCTGGCTGGGCAGCAGTGGCTTTGTTCGTACAGTGCTCTGCAGTGTCTCCTCAACAATTGCAACTATCTCACTCGCTTTCTGTTACAGAAGAGACAAATGTTACAAATTACAATTTATATCTAAAACAGTCTTATACATTATATCAGTAAATAGTCTTATGTACAACGTAAACATGCTGTCCTTTGATGTAAAATCATGGAACGCTCAGAGCAACTGCAGACATATGTAAATTTTATCATGACAGCCATTGTTGCATTTTGATGTGGTGACTTTGAATTCAGCTGTGATATATTACATCACAATCTTATGAAACTTTTACGTGGTTTTTCTATACACATAGTGTAATATATGGTGACAAAGAAAGTGAATATATATATATATATATATATATCACCTACATGCACATGTGAAGCTCTCTTTCATAATACAGCCAACTAGCACTCTGCTCGTTCCAAATGTGTGTTAAGCATTCTATATTTAATACCACATGCAATAAGGATACTCTCAAACTTTTGCACGGGTATTGCTCTAATGAAGATTAAACGTTTATTGACGAATGAATCGAATCAATCACACGTTTTATTTATAGAGGAGATATATCTCTATGCTCAAGCCAAAAAATTTCATGAAATTTCCAGCACATAATTATGTTACCACACAAATTTTGAATTTTTATGTAAAAATAGTATTTTGGATATTTCTCAATTACCACAGAGTGAGGAAGCAAAATTTTCGCCACAGGTTAAGCACAATATGTACCAAAATAGCGCATCAGGATTTTTCTTTGAAAAAAACTGCTTGAAAATAAAGTTGTGTGTTAGAATTGAAAATTTTAGCGAATAAAGAGGCATAACTAATAAAATACAACACTTAATAACAATCCCTGACACGCTTTTTTACAGCCATATGTTACCATTAAAACGAGTGTAAAATTAAAATAATCCGAGTTGTAATCACAGGAAAATATCCATTTATACATCGGCTACTATGTCAGAAATCGAAACGGAGAAATCAGCGTTTTTCTATTTTTCACAATGATCGACCGCCTGTGTGCAAAATGGGTGAACGTATGTGAAACATCTACTGTTAGTACTTACTGTGACATATGACTAACTGACACCACTAAATTGGTAATATGTTCCATGCACCTTGAGAAATTGTGAGAAATTACAAGGTTACCACCGCACTTTCATGCAAAACGCGCGTACGATGTGTACTGCATGCCGTTACTAAGCTATGTGTCAACAAACACGCGCCTAAATGCAAGGTGTGTAACAAGGGAAACGGGGCTATTTTCGGTCGCGCGACAATTTCAACTATCACTGGCAGATGACAGCTGTAGGAGGGTTGATGATGAATGATACTAGCATAGTAAATATTATGGAAATTCTGGTTGTATCATCTGACGTCAGCTGCTGCTCACTACACGGGCAATCAAAATGCTCTAAAAGTTCACATGTACCGTTATATGGAGAAATGAGCATATTCAGAGGTGGCACATAGTGTTAGCCATCGAATAAAGTAGAAAAATGAAAAATCTGTAAAATTTTGCCTAAAACCTTGAGAGAGTATCCTTAACAAGTAATGTGTAAGTAACAGTAGTAAGACAGATAATGGAGCAAAGAGCCAGCAGTGAAAAATTAGGTGGGCTGTACTCGGTTGATTTAAAAAAAAATTATGTAAATATCTTGCAATAACATGTTCACTTCACTGAGTCATAAAGTTGTGATCTGGGTCGGGTTCTATTGTAAGTTTTTTTTTTTTATTATGCCTAATTGTGAATTACCTGCTTCGTGATATTTCCAAAGAGAAGGAACTCAATGTGCATTTTCGACAGTAGCTGTGGAATGAACTGTTGCACTCTCTCTAATGTAACCTCTGCAACGAAGAGAAGATAGTACATATAACCACATCACAGAGCTACCTTGGCATGTACGTAAGAATTAAACCAGCTCGAACCACATCTTGGTAATATAACATCACTTCAACATGGGCAGTATTGCTCGCTCACACTTTAACAGCTTTAGTGATATTGTTAGGGAACCGTTAATAACCGTTATCAGAAACATGAAACACGAAAAATGTAATATGTCAAGACTGACCTTCCATGTTGTTTAGCAGTTCGTCTTTAGTCCAGGCATGTTCAGCCATCAGGATGGAGGTGTAGTACGTTGCATGCTGGTGTGGTTGCTCAGCACGGAAGTTCTTCAAGCCCCGCAGATACTGCAGAGACCAGAGAATGAATAATTATTTATACATTTCTAATTGCAGCAGGATGTATTTTCTAGAACCACGTTGGTGTTGTTTACGATATGTCTACAATGCACCAGGACATGTTGTAACCTACAAACATACACACGCACGGACACACACACACACGCACGCACGCACGCACGCACGCACGCACGCACGCACGCACGCACGCACGCACGCACGCACGCACGCACGCACATACATGGTGTCTTGCCAATACCAACAACGTGGAATGCACACATGCACAATACCATAACAGATTGATGTATATGTATTAGTGCCAACCTGCCCTATTAGCTTACATTATAGATTACGCAATACCTTATAGCTTTTGTACAGAATTAGATATTCACAGAAAGTGTTAGACAGCAGACAACAGTCTTTCATAATCATTTGCTATGCACTATTCATCATTTGCTATGCACTATTCATCATTTGCTATGCACTATTCATCATTTGCTATGTGCTATTCTACTGCACATGTGTAGCCAATGCCTTATGAACACTGACCACAGGTTGTATTTCAGCTAAATTAGGATGAGCAACCGTGCTTAAAAATTTTCTAGAACCAAAGTAAATCCATTGTGTTGCTCTTGATTGCTGGGACATTACACAGGATAGTGTTACGTATCAGGATTTTTCAGTGGCACCACGGCAAGTCAGGAGGGCAACCAAGGCAGTTGTCATCGGTACCGCGGCGAAAATTGAGCCGTGACATTACAGAGAATAGTGTCCCCTGTCAGTATGATGAAGATTGATTACAGGCCCACTCACATTCTCTTTGAGGATGTCAAACCTCTTGGGGTCAATCTGAAAGGAGGTCATCTTCTCCATCACCTTCCTTAGCAGGACATGCTGCTTGTCACTGTAGCCCTCCACCGCCAGCTGCAAAATGAAGCCATTTGAGAAGATTAGTGCTCGTTAGTAAGCGCTCGTTAGTAACTCTGAGATCTCAAAGCTATGAGTAAAGCTACAAACAAAGCTATGAACAAAGCTATGAACAAAGCTATGAACAAAACTGAACAAAGCTATGAATAAATCGATAAGAAAAGCTACGAACAAAGCTATGAACAAATCGATAAGCAAAGCTACGAACAAAGCTATGGGTGACAATGATGGATGGAATTGAATGGCGCTTCATAACTCTTTAAGCTGCTTTTGACTATTAGCTAAGCGACTAGTATTATGGGCTTGAGATTTATTAAGAGCTTTTGTTCATCAAAACCATAGAGAGCCTTCACCAAACACGCATCACAATAGCACTACGATACATAGATGGCTGTATCCGCATTATGTGTTTACTTGTGAAATGTAAAACTTGAAATTCTATTGAAATTTTACAAATAGTACATATAATGCATAAAAAGATGGATGGATGCCTGGATGGATGAAAGGATGAATGGATGGATGAATAGATAGATAGATGCATGCACGAACGCACGCACGCACGCACTCCCGACCGCCCGCCCGCCCACCCCGCACGCATACAGAGGATAGATAGACATTGTTCATTTTTCCAATCTGTATCATCCATCCACATCACAGAACAGCACTAACCGTCAGTCCATACTTGCTATTGTCTAGGCTGTACACAAGGCCTGCTAGTTCGGCTGCATATGCGTACTCGTTCAGCGTGTCTCTGAACAGAGACACGAACATGTAGACCATGCTGGCGTGCGTCGGGTCGAGGTACGCTAACGGACTGAAAGATGTGATGACATCAGTACCAACGTCTACGTACAAGCAGTCTGCCCACACATATGCACGCACACTTACACATACACACACACACAAGGACACACGCACGAACGCACAATAGATGATAAAGAATATATTAACCCCTAATTTGCTTTCCTGCCACTTCTATTGACAAACTTCTATTTGACAAACCCTTGCATCAATTTTTGATAACAATTCAACAACCTAATTCTAGTGAATATATCCCCTATATCCCTGTTGCACAATCCACTGTAAGCAACTGCTGTGTAACCCATGGCACACGATTCCTGAGTTTGTGGAGGCATCGTCAACTCGACGACTTATTTGTACTGATTTGGAACTTCATAATCCAACAAATCCACTCAAAATGTGACAATCATCCATACAGATTTGACAAAACCTATGGAAGGTGAGGGATAACCAAATTTACTGCAAAATCTACTTCAGTGTAAAAAATAACATGCAAAATTCGTAGGAAAATTTAAACATCGGATTACCGGACTTTCTCGGGAAAAAATCCGAACGCTGCTAACCTAGTGAGTGCGACTTCCTTGCCACTAGTATGAATAAACATAGCTCATCGTGACATACCTGGTGAACTCCACCGCAATACAAGCCTTCGGTAGGAGGTATTCATTATCCTGCTTGTACCACACCCGAGACATGGGGCCGTTCTGCATCAGACATGGCAATGCATTCGCCTGCAAGCAAAGGAGCAGAGAATAATTCAGTTATACACACACACACATTCATACAAACATACAGAGACTCCGTATTTATGAAATACGGTATTTGCGAGATACCGAATCTGAGACAAATTCGCGACCGAGCGTTCACACGCTGATTCGCGGCTCCAGAAATGCCGTATTTGCGAGCTGCGAGCTGCTTTAGTACACTGAAACAAGAGCCGCAGAACGTCTGGGCTCATCTGAAGTATGTTGCTACGGTTATAAACGTAACATTTAAGTCGTGCGTAGTAACACCTTTGTTAGGCGCAGATATGCAGATACGCAGTTGCGTACACATCATTTCAGCAACCTTCTGCATTCTGCATACCCCTCCCAAATCCCATTGGTTGATACAAATCGTGTGCCTAAAACTCCTGTTTTATGGTGCATTGTGATCCTAACCCTAACCCTATTAAAAAAAATAATAATTTAATTGTTGTAAACATTATTTGTTGTTATGAAATTGTTGTAAATAAATCATGTAAATATTTGCCTTAATTGGAAAGAAATAGTTAAATGGATAAAGATAAAAAAATACAGAAAACAGGTAAATAATAAAAAATCTGATGGGATTCAATCCAAAGACCTTTGAGCCGTAATCCTGTGCTGTAGCCGTTGGGCTATCAAGGCATATTGGCTTTCCAGATTATGGATGTGCCATCAATATGAGAACACTGTGACATCATTGAGGCAGTTCAGGAATCTATGTTTAACCCTCCTCTTGAGGATAAAAAGGTTATCAGACACTTACTCTTCGCACGTCAGTGGAAAGCACATTTCATGGTCCTTTCAATAAAGTGATAAAAATGGTAGTTCAGTGCTGAAACAAAAAAGTTTTTCACTCTGTCCGTTAGGCCATGTCCTCAGAAAATGTCTGATATCTGACCTCTCCCCCACTGCCCTTTGACCTTCAATTTCGCACTGGTGATGGGTTTCCTGCCCATCTCACTATACACCGAATATTAAGAGCATAGGTCGAGCCGTTCAGATTTGTGCCGCAATTCCGTATTTCCTCCTATACCTTAAGTTAAGGGGCAAATATTCCCCCTCCGTTGACACATCTTGACCTTTGACCCCCAAATTTGTCATCCCGAGTCCTTTTCACGATCCTCCTCCCCCCCACGTCCCGAATATCGTCACCGTACGTCGAGCGGTTAAGATTTGTGCCCAACTGTTGACGCACGCACGCACGCACAATCATGCGATTCTACAAGCTGCATCTGACTGTGTCAGATGAGCTAAAAAAACAATGCGTCCAAGCAAACAATCAAGCAAACAATGCGAAATAAACAATGCAATGCGCACCAACTGCCGATAAAATACGTAGACTGGTCCGCGCTCGACAGTTCCACTCGCGTTACACTGGAACTGTCGAGCGCCAACCAGTCTATAAAATATGTGGCTTCAGAAATTCGGTATTTTACATGTAGCGTTCACACGAGGAAATACGCGGTCCAAGCAGTGTTTGCCACTGAGCAGAAAAAGCTGTAGGCCTGCAGGTCCTATAGCTCCTAAAAGCTGCAGGCCCGCCAGCAAAGCTGTAGGCCTGCCAATTTTGGAGCAAATATATATATATAAAGTTGTTCAGTCGAATTAGTTCATACTCGCATAACTAGAGATCTCCGCAGCCTAGAGGAAAACTAAAGATATTTTCAGAATCAGCACGTTTGGCAGGTGGTTCTGGCAAAAAAGTTAAAAAGTTAAAAAGTTAAAAATTGATAAAAATTCTATTCATCAATAGATGGCGGTGCATACAGATTAACATCACGTACGTGTGAATCCATGATGTATATCCTTAACGGTGCAGTGGCCTAATCGCTAGAACATTCGTCTCCTACACCAGGATTCCAGGTTCGAGTCCCTGGGGAACTAATTTTCCCCTTTTTTCCCTTTACCTACCTCTTTAGTATGTAATATTTTTTATTTTTTACTTTTTATTTTTAATGTCTTTTATCTTTTGATTTCTTATTATTTTTTACTGCTTGGAATGGGATGGGATGGGATGGGATGTGATGGCATGGGATGGGATGGGATGCAGTGCAATGGGATGGCATGGGATGCGATGAGATGGGATGGGATGTGATGGGATATGGGATGGGATAGAATGGCATGGCATGGCATGGAATGGGATGGATGGATGCATGGATAGATAGATAGTTAGATTTTTTGGGCATTTCCCTTTCAACCAAGCGGTCACCAACTGAGTAATGCCACTGATTTCCCTGGGCAACGCCGGGTATCCCGCTAGTTGCAGTAATAAAACAGCATATCATGTTCTTCCTTGTGTTTAAGCCTCAGTCACACTGGGGCCGGACTGTCCACGGATTACCGCGGATGGGGCAGGATCTCCCCGGACCGTAAAATTTATAATCCGTGGCGATCCGGGTGAAAAAATTCATCATCGGGCCGGATCAGGCCGGACCAGCACGGCAGCGCCACGGACCATCCTGGATTGAGCCCGGATGAAGCCGGCCCCAGCACGGAGTCACTACGGACCGCCCCGGACCGCCCCGGACTGCCTCGGACCGCCACGGACCTGATCCGGCCCCGTCCTGGCCCATCCGTGCTCCCATCCGTGTTGGGTCCGGCTTGATCCGTAGTGATCCGTGGCCGACAAAAACGACACGGATGGCCACGGATGGGCCCGGTTCAACACGGTGTGGGCCCGGTTCAACACGGTGCCACTACGGACTGTCCCGGACCTACCACGGACGCGCCACGGACCGTCCAGGACCACCCCGGATGGGGAAAACTTCCTGGACCGTCCCGGATCACCCCGAAAATTTTAAACAGTTTAAAACTTCCGGAGCGATATCCGGGGAAATGCCGCAGGACATCAAGGACCACCCCGACCGGCCGACCGTCCAGGACCCAACAAGGATCTCTCTCCGGATCAGTCCGGCAGCGTCCGGCCCGGTCCGGAGGCTTGGTGTGACTTTAGCTTTATTAGTCATTATCAATGTCCATAATCATAATCCCTCTGTTTTTCCTTCCTCTCGTCGGATGACTGTTTATGCTTCTTTGCCGCGGGCTCAAATTAAGGAAACGCCACATCATTGTTATATGTAGATCCTTGTAACTACGACTCCACTTTGACAGCTGAGAGACAGACTGGTAGTCTGGTACACATCGGTAGCAACGTAGTAGCCGTTCATAACATGCGAGTGGAGCCATCATACGTACACCAGTCTAACCATGTGTCGATCATACAGTCATGTCGATTTGTCGAAATCTGAGACACTTGCTCAGGCCAGACCACGGGTCACCCACCAATGAAAAACGATTTCATGTTTTACTCGCAGTTAATTCCGCACTCGACTGGCAACTTGCCCTTTAGTTTAGACACTGTGGTGCGCAGCTTGGAACAGGGTTCCAGGCTATCGCTTCTTCATTTACATCAGGCTGCAGCGAATATGCAGTGGGCGAACGCATTGTTTACATGTATGTCACGCTTTACACCTGGAAGTTTACGTGCAAGAAAAGATTTCTACATGTAACAGTTTCTCAGTGTTTCAAATTTTCGGTCGATCAAATAGGCTGTAGGATCAGCGGGCCTGTTTATCAAGAAAGCTTGTAGCCCGGCCCATCAAAACTGTCGGCGGCGGGCCGACGTGAATTTCGAACACTGGGTCCAAGAGATTCAGAATTTCTCAAGCACGGCAAATAATTCGGCATCTGGGAAGCCGCGTATTTTAACAAATACCGAATTTATTTAGATTCCGTATTTCTTGGACCGCGCATTTTGCCTCGTGTGAACGCTAAATACCAAATTTCTTGCTACGTGTGAACGCGGCTAGTATAATGGAGAGAAAACAAGAAACGGCGCTGCATCAAAGCCAATGAGTGGTGGCAAATAGAACGCGACAACACATGCGCACCTCTTCGTCACGAGTCAGTAGATCAAAGTTGGTTGGGATGAATTCATTTGCATCTGGCATTCTGAGGTTTTCATTTGCACCTGCATTTTTCCACATCTGAAACAGAGTAGAAACATGTGCATGTGCAGTACATGTGGCACAGATCGAAAAAATGACACTGACTGCATTCAAAAAAATCAAAACACAAGTCAATAGTTAGAGATACAGAAAATAAATTGCTTTCAAATTTTAACAGTGAAAGTTTAGCTAGTCATCTATATTGGAAGTGTGGGATTATGGGGGAAATGCTGCAAATAGTCACCAAGTATAATTCAGTAACACATTTAATAGAGTACCGAAGCCGTGACGTCACTGCCGCCTGACGACCGCTCGACTGGTTCTACACAAACGGTTGCTATGCGTGGATAACCCGTGCGATGTCGCGCACTTACTATGTATAGTTTTTAAATTAAATTAATACTAGTAATACTATACTATTACATAGTATTGCCTAGTAGTACTACTAGTACTACTACTACTACTACTACTAGTACTACTACTAGCTCCTGGTAGTACTAGTATTACCTAGTACTATACATAGTAGTAGGGACTTTGCATGAGCAATGGTATGGACGCAATTACGATAACAGCTTTAGCTTCTTTCTTCTCCGACGAGCCGAAATCACTGCAACGAGGGGAAAACCACTACAAATCGGACCATGTAGAGAAATGTGATTATTGTTCAGGTGAACTACGAGGAGTTGTTAGAGCCAGCATGAAAGACAAAAGCTACAACGTTGTGGTAAGTTTTGTAGTTCACGAAGAAAAATGAATGTCTTACTACATTAATGTGGAAAAATTAATGTCTTCCAACGCTGTAGTCCCACTCGCGCATATTTGTGTTTGTGCAACGACTTTCGGGGGTTTGAAGGCACCATTAAATTATCATTTAGTCCATGCATGAATATCATAAAAAAATGTAGGAAAGTACAACTTCAAGATCGAAAGCTAGTTGGTGCGTGCATGAACACAAATAATTTACCAGGTGCAGGAGTACAGTCTCAGACACGATGGCCAGTGCATTACACTTTTCCATTTCCTTTTTACAGTGAAAACCATATTTTATCAATATGCTCTGTATGTTCTTGGCAAGAAATCGTTACAAAAGTCTATATATATGTATAATAATTTTTGTAAATAATATTAAAATACATGGATGATGGATTACAAAATGAATTAACTTTTTTTTAAGCCAATTGAAGGATTGTAAATTTTATGACTTTCATTGTTATTTTCCGTGCTATTTTGTTTTCATAACAAATATAAAAGCATTCTAATTGGTGTTTTTTTCTTCTTTTATTTCTCAAATTAAATTGTAGGTACAGCTGGGTGAGAAAAGCATCACCTCGTCAACGTGCGAGTGTCCGCGTGGTCAGTACAAGTGCAGCCACGCAGCAGCCCTCATCATCTTCGGCATCCACAACATCAGCCGGACGGACGTGGAATGCCAGTGGCGTAAGGTGAAGGGACCGGCAACCGTCAAATCTGTCGATGAGATGTACCCGCCGCCAAAGGACTATAACCCTCTCACAAGAACTGTTACCGATGATGACCGCAACTGGCTTCGCAGCGAACTAAAGACTTGTGGCCAATTCACCGGGATGTACTGGCTTTTATCCCCAGAGCCTGATGTCCAGCCACTACCAATTCCTTCAGTAGAAGAACTGATTCTTTCGCCAGCCTTTGTCAACCAGAACCTGAATGTAGATGCTCTTCTAGACAGACTTAAAATTTCTGAGGATCAACAGCGAGCTGTAGAGCAAGCAACAAAGGGCCAGCGACACAACCCTGTGTGGCATCAACTGAGGAAGGGACGATTAACTGCGAGCAATTTTGGCGTCGTGCTGAAAGCAAAACGTGTCACCCCATCTCTACTCAAACGGCTAATGGGGACCTATGATTTGAGCGGCGTCCAAGCCATCAACTGGGGCATAACCCAAGAGGAGGAAGGAATTAAAGCCTTCAAGGCAGCCAACCAGTGCGAGGTGGTTGAATCTGGACTCTGGCTGTCCCGGTCGGGAGTACTGGGTGCCTCTCCTGACGGACTTGTTGGAGAGGATGCCATCGTGGAGGTGAAGTGTCCGTTCACCCAGCGTAATGCAACAATCGCGGAGGCGGTCGAGAGGAAAGACTTCTACATAAAGAAGAATGAAGAAGGGGGCTACAAACTTCAGGAGAACCATCAATATTGGCATCAAGTTCAAGGACAGCTCCACCTGACGCAAAGAGACCTTTGCTACTTTGTTGTGTGGACAACAAAGGCAGCACTCATCCTGAGCATCAAGAGAGATGCATCCTGGATCGACAATCTAGAGTTCTTGGAGAAGTTTCATCGAGAACAGATTCTCCCTAGACTGTTGAGTGGCGATGAGTAATAAACCTTAGATATTATAAGAACTTTTTTTTGTAATTCCATACAATATAATTATTGTCTTCATTCTGCAGTGAAACGTTAAGGATTTTCCATGCCAATTAATATTTCTATAGTCATTATAGTGTTAACGTTCTGAATGTACACAATATTATCCTTACAAATACCTTAACCTAACACATTTGTATTTTAAGTAGAATTTTTAATTAATGTTTAAAATACAGAATAATCCTTAAAATTGTGTTTATTTTCCCTGATTAGTTTTTACGGAATTTACATATTAAAACTACTATTGGATATCAGAGATAATGAAATTACTTGATCATTCTTGAAAGAAGAAATTTTTTTATTTTGCTTATTTTTAACCCATTTTGTTGCCAACAAAAGGAATATTTAGATTATAGCCAAACCATTTATCTACGCAAATGCATCTTTAAATATTGTGAAACCTGTGTTTAGTGGAACAACTTAGTTATACGATTCTAGTTATTTTTGCCTCGCATGTACTTTTTGATAAATTGTATTTCAAATAATTTACCTACTACAAAGTCATCATTTTGTGACTTTGAGATCTCTCTTTCAGCCTTTATAATCGATTGTGATGTTAATAATGAGTTGTGTTTGCAATAGTGCATGTGTTGTGACAGTTGTGTTTCATGTACATGCTTCCATCTTATAAACTTGACTGTGTGTCCGTTTATTAGCAGGTGTTTTGTGTTTGCCTGTGTCTTTCATTACAATTAAATAGAACAAAATCAGATTATCAGTGGAACATCGTCATAAAGAGGCACTCTGGGGGGTGTTGCATATATAGAGTTGCGATTAATCAGTCTGAAAAATGTGCCTAATAACGCAAATCTCATTGGCGGAAATGCCAATATTACTTGCGATTGATCGCAACACATTCAGATATAACAAAATTCATTTTGTTTTATTGGGGCCAAGTTCCTCTTATAACAAGGTTCCACTGTGATTAATATCTAGGTATAAATTTGCAAGACATTAATTCTCTATTTCAGAGGAACCTCTGTAATACTGGTTATTACATTACTTATCCTCTCGTGATCATACAGTGTCCGCGTATAAGATCGCTACTAAATGGTTACTCATAGATATATACAAATACTAAATGCTGAGATACGTATCTAGAATATACAGACATCTTTAATACACACATATAGAATACTACGTAGACGTCCATATACCAAGCATCGACGAGTACAGAAAAGTACGCGACAGAAACACAACTTACATATCGAATGGTGATGTGGATAGCGATGACAGCAATAGTAAGAAATGAAACGTATGTCAGACGCTGCATAGATAACTCTCTCATTGGTTGACACGTACGGGTTCAGCTACGCGTCGGTGATCCGCGGTTATGCTAGGGGCACACGAGCGTATTTTATCGCCCGATCGCGGCGATTAAAATCGCCAGCGAATTTAATCGCCCGATCACGAAGGGGCACACGTAGCGAATTTAATCGCCCGATCACGAAGGGGCACACGTAGCGAATTTGAGAGCGTACGCGTACGCCACTCGACGGAATCACATGATCACATGATGCATCACATGATATCAACAACACGTCCAATTGGTTTAGAAAAATCGATCGGGCGACAAAATACGCCGGACACGGGCACACGAGCGAATTTGCCAGTAAATAATCGCCGGCGTAAATAATCGCCCGAAAATATCTAACACTTTGGATACGGGCGATTCGTGCGGGCGATTAAAATCGGCGTCGACGTGAACGAGCACACGGGCGAATTTTTCATGCGATTTTAAAATTCGCGGCGATCGGGCGATAAAAATCGCTCGTGTGCCCCTACCTTTACACAAAGGCTTGCTAGTATCCTGCCTAAATTCGATTATTATGCAATTATCATATTTCTGTATTATATTACTATTCAGTATTACACCTCTCTATAACATTAACATGATTCAGAAGTCCTATTCGATATCGGCTGTGTCTCTGATCTCTCTGATGAGGGAATGCTGCAGATTGACAAGGCTGCAACAAACTTTCACAACTTTTTCAGTGTAGCACCTTAGGTATGGGGGAATGAAAGTTAGAATCTTGAAATCCTTCAGGCGGGCGTTGGCTCTTTCCACGTGGATCCGGCACTTTGCAATGTTTTTGGTGATCTTCACCTCGCTTTCGCTAAACTTGCCGTGGGACAGGAAGGGGGGTATATTAACTGACACACCTGGTGGCACAACGTCCTGGATGAGGAAACCCTTGTCAGCAAGGATGAGATCGCCGGCCTTGAAGTGGGTGAGGATGTCGCATTCCTTCACTACAGCCTTGTCGGAAACTGACCCTGGAAACAGTTTGCTGCAATACGTAATGACAGCATTTGGTGCTACACCCAGGAGCAGTTTGAAGGAATGCATACCTCTGTATGCCGAGTAAGTCCTCTTCTGATGACTCATAAGCTTTGGAGCTGCAATCTTGACATCAGTGCAGTCGATCACCATTCTGCAATTCCCAAATAGTTGAAATGCGTCTGGCATAGACATTTTGTTTTTCTCGCGGGATGGGACGGTCTTCATCGTGTCTTCGTAGAGTAGATTGTATAGGATGTGGATCAATGTGATGACGATGTTGCTGATTGTGGCAGTGCTGGTGTGGAATAGTTGGGCTAGGTGTAAATTGGTGTAATTCTGGCGCAGTTTCATGAGTGTGATGAATACCTGGTCCTGGAACGTGATCGATTCGACTCGCCAGCCGCTGAAATATGCAATGTTATCCTCAAATCGCTGTACGTATCCGGTGACAATTCCTAGAATTTTCTTGTTTGGGAGTCCTGTCTCCATACAAATAACTTCATCTGTTAATGAGTCTACGCTGTATTTGTCCCTCCTGTAACCAGCAGTGGATTGCAGTTTTTTTAGTTCTTTAGTGGTTTCTTCTAATTGGACTTTTAATATCACATTATCAACTTTGAGATTCTTTGTCTCACTCTCACTTGGTCCAGGATCAGTGCTACTAGCTGGTTCGGTTACTATTGGTGTTGTACACGCATCGGCAGTACTAAGTTTTATTTTGTTAGCGGTCCTTTTTGGAGCTTCCGATATTGACGGAAATATCTTGTCAACATTACGTTGGAAGATCTCTGGTATTCCCTCTTTCTTGCCGTCGCGGAAATGACATACACAGACCCTCGAACTGCTGCTCGGCTCCCTGTCTGCACGCCTAAAAGAAAGAGAGAAAGAAAACAATAAGTACACATTTTCGCAAGTCTCACAAACATGTTGTTTTAAAACTTTTTGTTAAATCAAGTTTAACGGCATTCAAATTTATTTTAGTTAGTAAAACTTTCACCACTTAAATTACTGTACTATGGTTGGTTATCAATAAGGTTAATAATTAAGACTACTGAATGTGTAATTAAGACTGACAATAAGTGATACGTTTTTAATGGATGGCAAAGTGTCTCTCGATCTGACTCAGCTCTGGTCTGCCAAAAATGTATTGATAACTTGTGTATCGTCATGATCGTACATGTAACAATACTCAATAGTTCATTTTGTTTACTTATTTCTAGCATTTGATTTGTATAAATCTTATTCTTAGTCTTACTCTTAGAATATAATTTAGACAGGGAACTCAATCACAAACATACACAATTCCTCCCTTAATGTGTAAAGGTCAACAGAGTATGGGTGTGAAGAATTTAGGGCAAAACGTCGGTAATTCAATCGATGTTGGCACTTGGCTTTTCAGATAAAATTTGGTGAGCCTGCGCGAACACAGTACTCAGTAGCCTAGGGCCGCGTGAGGCGTGCGATAGTCGAAAAAGCCAAAAGTTTTACCGACATTTTCACCCCAAATTGAGAGTCTAAAAATAAGTTGCTTACCTAATTTGTTTAATCCATTTTTGCTTTACACGTGGATCCTTCGGAAATCGAAAAAACCTGCAGGTGTCACGCTCGGATTGATGATTGCAATCGGGAACAAAACACTGCACCATACTAGCAGTGTTGTGAGATAGCAAGCAGCCATGTTTAAAAGATTGTGTAGAACCAGGCCGTGCGTTGTCTTGACAACGTGACGTCACACTTCGGTACTCTATTATATACACAGAAGTCTTAATATCTTATTATTATTTTAATATGGCATCATGACAAATAGGAAACAGGGTGATCACAGATCCATATTTCCTCTAACTGGCTGTTATCAAACTAGTTTCACATCACAGCATTAGCATTCATATACTAACCTGTAACCATCCAATAATTTTTTAATAATCTTATATTCTACAATGACTGCTGAATTTCTTACACAAATATGGTTACCGTGACGAGTACAAGGACCACACTGTTAACATGTTCTCACCTGGATAAGCTCGTCAGATATTTCTTCAATTTTATAGTCTGTTCCATACCACTCTTCCTTCTTATCAGTGTGTCCCTCAAACTTCTGGCCAACCACGGCAATCCTAGAATTTAATAGTGGCAGTCAATGGCAAGGAAACCAATACAAATACACAGTCGCTTCTAATGCACTCAATCAATCATAAAAGGAATAACCTTCACATATAACGTACTCTCAAATAACACATTCTGGCTATAACCCAACTTAAAATTCCGAAAAGCGTGTTTCATCGTGACACCTTATGACGTCACATATACGTGACCACGTATGAAAATTGAAAATATATATTAAAAATTGCTATTTAAGCTTAACAGTATGAACTTGGATTGCTTATATTTTACGCAAAATTCTACTTCCCAAATTAAATAGCTGGCTGCCTATGTTATTACAGCATGGCAAGCTTGCGGTTAGTAGCCAATATCTACGACCTGGCTACCGAACCGAATTACCAAGCAAACACTGTCAAAATTGTCTTATTTATAAAAGGTGTACAGCTAAAGCATCACATACCGTATATTCTCAGGTATTAGATGGCTGAGTACCTGTTCTATCAAATCAGGTTTATATTCTTCCAGAAGGTATGGTCCACTAAGCACTTCATTCAGCCGGTACCTCTGTTTGTGAACAGGTGTGAAACTATATCATATGCTAGCAAAATACTAAAAACTTCAAGACGTGGCAATCCTATATGAGTATACACTGTACACCTAATATTTACCTAAACTCAATATTGATGCAAGAACATATGGCTTCAAATATCACGAGAATTAAATGGAATGTATTTTACAAACAGTTTCAAATATCACAAGTCACAAATATCACGAATGTCTTTTGTCAGACCTGTTGGCATACATACATGAAGGTTTGATGCCACGTTGGTCACAAAACCCTGGGGCTTTTCCTTATCCTTAAACCTGAAGGTCATCGCATTTAGACTCTGAAAGAACAATTAACACACCCAATGTGAGAAGATATGTGTGTATAGTGTATAACCATGTATCAACATAAAAATAAACTAAAACAAAAATGAACTTTTATAATATGCACATAAATTATAGTGTTGAACTACCACAGTTCAGATATTTTTACAATCGTGTATATGTATAATGTTAGATTGCTTATCGTAGTTGTACAAATAAATTAAGCATGCACTTCACTGCCTCAATTTCAACCTAAAGCACTGCTATTTCACTGCTATCACATGCAGAGCAAAACCCACCTGGCATTCTCTAAATACCCATTCCAGAGGTCCAGCTGCCCTCAGCATGTTCAAGTACTCGAAAATGTGAGTGACTATCTCATCCGTGTGCTCTAAAAACATATCAACGTGTAATTACAATTCTTTCAGATGCTTCATATAACAGTAATTATTTTCTCGGTTAGCATTGACCATTTGCCTGAAAAATAGCTGTGGTTTAAAAGTACATCAGGAGAAAGGCAAATATGGAGATAATACCAGTATGTGATCATGAAATATTTTTGTCTTTAAAGTTTTTATTATGAGATTTTTGCTCAGAAACGCTCAATCCAAAAAAATATAGCGAAATATACTATATAGTCTCACCTCACAGCGGATATATCACTGATTACACTAACATAAAAAACACTAAGATTTTGTGCAGCTATAGCATAGGAAATTGAATATGAACACATCGTAACACACTGAAATTTTATCGTGTCGGGACACTGTCAAAATGTGTCAACTTGTAATTTGTCGGTGCAAACGAGATTTTGCGAGAGACGTGTAATGCTAGCCGCACACTATACGACCCGAGCGGGATCGAGAGGCTTACGTCTGGATCGGAAGGCCTTGCGTCTGGCTACCGACTGGTTTGACACGATCGGGAGGTCATTTTAGGCCGATTCGAATTTTGAATCGGGAGCGGAGCGGGTCGTATAGTGTGCGAGGGTATACGACACGACTCGGATAGTGTGCGTGGCCATCCGACCCTGCCGCCGAGCGCTGAAGAAAATTGACCAATCACAGAGCAGCGCCATGGTAACCACATTCGGTCAAAATGGCGGGGAAACACTCCTGACCCTTAGTACACACTAAATCCGCTTGGAACGCCACGAGAGCGCTATGGTTAGCGCCGACTTTGAGTCGTACAGTGTGCGTGGGCCTCCCGATCGATCGGCTGCCAAGCATATGGTGTGCGAGGGCTTACGACTGCGGCCCGAGCAAAATCTTATAGTGTGCGGCTAGCATTAGTCTATGGACAATAGCTGGTGCTTGTAGCGCTACTAACTGGTCCAAGATTACAAGAAAAGGCTCGCTGGTAATTGAACTTGCATGTTTTGGTGAATACGAAGGTTCTAATATATTTTATTGTTACCCTAGACAGTTGCTGTTGCTCAAGCAATAACGGTAGGTAATTCAACGGTCATAAAAGTGGGGAGGGACCACTAGATAATTATCATAAATATGGCTTTAACTGAATGTCCATAAAAATAAAGCAATAACAAGTTGGTACGTGATGAGATATTGAATATTGAATGATAATTGAATATTGATTGTGTGTAATTGACAGCAATAATGATTTGTTGGCCCTACTGCATTTTTAAACTAGAAAGTCCAGACTAGACCAGTTGTCGCCAACTAGATGTATCCCCGGTGATCTAGTATGAATGAAATATCTCTGTAAGGACGTAGAAGGTAGGTTAAGTTAAATAGGTCACAAAGACAAAGGTTTGTTACACAACTCATCTGCCTGAGATGTGCAAGTATGTTAAAATTGGTTGCCTTAGGGGTTTTGGTATGCAACACACCTTCTCCCCAAGATGTGTAAGTATACAAAGTTTGGTCGCGCTAGGTCAATTAGGGGCCGAGTTATAGAGCAGAAGGGAAATATGATAAAGGTCAAGGTCAAGTTCAATGTCAAATAAAGGTTGCATTGACCTGGTTTCAGTACGCGACACACCTTCTCCCCAAGATGTGTAAGTATACAAAGTTTGGTCGCGCTAGGTCAATTAGGGGCCGAGTTATAGAGCGGGAGGGAAATATGATCAAGGTCAAGGTCAAGGTCAAATAAAGGTTGCAGTGACCTGGTTTCGGTACGCGACACACCTTCTCCCCAAGATGTGTAAGTATACCAAGTTTGGTCGCGCTAGGTCAATTAGGGGCCGAGTTATAGAGTGGAAGGGAAATATGATCAAGGTCAAGGTCAAGGTCAAATAGCGGCCGCAGTGACCTTGTTTTGGTACGCGACACACATTCTCCCCAGGATGTGCAAGTATACCAAGTTTGGTAGCGCTAGGTCAATTAGGGGCCCGAGTTATTGAGCGGAAGGGAAATATAATCAAGGTCAAGGTAAAGGTCAAATAAAGGTCGTAGGGACCGCGAACACTTCTCCCAAGAGTTTGTAAGTATACAGTTTGCTCCGCACCTAGGTCAATTAGGGTCATTAGTCGCCGAGCGGGCCAAGGAGATATCAATGAAGATTAGGTGCAAGGTCCAATGTCAAATAAGTGGAGTGACCTGGTTCGGTATGCGAGCACATCTCTGCGAAGATCGATGTAAGGGTTTTTAAAACTCCAAGTTTGTACGCGCTAGGGTCAATCAAGAGCTCGGGAGGCGATTCTAGAGGCGGAGGAATAATAATGATATCCCGCGCGTCAAAGATCACAAGGAGGATAAAGGTCGTAGTGACCTCGTTCTTGGTACGCTGCGCATCTTCTCCCCAAGATGTGTGAAGTATACCAAGTTTGGTGGTAGAGAGAATTCACATTAGGTTGGCCGCAGTTCGCTCACTATAACGTATGAGCATGGCTCACAGGGAATATAAGACGGTCTCGACTACGTCAAACCCGTAAAATAAACGTTTGCAGTGCACGCTGGGTTTTGGTACTGAGCGTCCGCGAACCCAAACATATCCTTACTCCACTTTGTAATCAAAGCATATGTATAACAGTATAAACCGCAAGTTTGTACATCTTGGGCGAGAAGGTGTGAGAGTCCAAAACCAGGTCAACTCG